CAAATTCCTGCCTGATGAATGCTTAAAGCACCTGACAGTTGCTGTTTACAGCTACAGCTGGTTGGCCCATTCTCAAATGTTGTGGCGCCTTCACATTTAGACATGTGTACACAGCAGATTTAGTGTAATGGGGCTTATAGATGGCATCAGTGCAGCTACAAATGACTTGCATCAAGCAGACTTATACAAACAAGAGTGGCATCCCCTCAAGTCCTCAGTATACACTAAATCTGGGTTCAGGGTGGGGGTTATGGGTTATATTATAAACGACAACTTTGGAGTAGTGCTTGGTCTGTATCACTTGTACAAGCAGCCCCGAAGCTATTTAAAAATACCAGCACCAGTGCAAGTATTGTGAAAATGCTCTGTATCAGGACATCCCTTGTATGCAAGTGTTTGCAGGGCGGCCAGGGAACTAAACTTTTTTTTTTCGGGTATTTTTCAATGTATGTACTTTAACTTTATTTTTACTTCATTGCTATTGCATAGAGGGGCTCACAAGCCCCCTATGCGATCGCATGTTAGTAGTGACAGGGCCTCTTTAAAGGAGAACTATGGCATGAGTGAATTACACTCATCTCCATAGTTAGAGCCGACGTGTGACATTTAAACTGTCACACGTCAGCTCTATGGATTGGAAAGTGAGAATACATACAGCTGCTTGCGTTCTTCCCGTTCCATCTCCCTGTAGGGATTCCCTCTCCAATCTCCAGCGCTGACTGGAGGGACGGATGGGGGAGGGCACAGCTGGCTCTGCCGAGCCCGCTGTCAACCAGCCAGCGGGGTGGATCTCGACAGTATTGTCAATTTTGAGTCACGGGAGGACGTTGCTATATGTCCTTCCATGGTTTGGTGAGACCGCAGTAGACAAGGATGCGCCTTACGCAGTGCAGCGGTCTGGCTCTGTTGACTGACTGCTGTTTCACCATCTTAAAATGACAGCGCACAAGGAAGCTATTGTTAGTTTCATGCTATGGCTTTATATGTTTGATGTAATGATTTGTAGGGCTTGTGTGCATGGTCTTTAAGGGGCTGAGCACTATAAGCAGTAGCAGTGCTGCTTGATCTGCACTTGGCTACTTTTGCAGAGTACAGTATGGTGCAAACCATCAGACTATGTACACCATAAAACAGGAGTAGAATACAGGTGGGGTTTGGACAACCTCTAAAGGCTGCCTACATGTGACCTTACATTCAGATTTGTCCCATAAAGTCTACAAAGATCTGAATTGGCATGCACAGCCAACAGAGCTTGAAGACAACACTTGAAAGCCAATTTCCACCATTTTGTGGAGGTATTTTGAAAAAAAAGTCAGCAATGTACACTGAGTCACATGAAGCAGGCATATGCAGTTGCTGTATATGAACACATAAACTTAATTTTTTTTCCCACTTAGCTTTCCTCTTCATATTCTCAAGGAAAAGGCCACCTCTGTGCTCTGCTAGCAGTATATTATAACTGAGCACTCCACCCCTCAAACCTTTTCATTTTGGATAGATTGCTGAGGGAGTTAGACCCTGTAGGGTTTATATTCTTTTTGGTGTCCCGGTTTTCCTAATCACCATCCACTGGGACTGAAGGTAAAGGGAAAAACTCTAAAATTGTATGTTGTCACTGGAACAGGAATATAGAGGAAATGTTCCAATGAAGACAACTGGCTGAGATTTCCCTTATTTTGGAGGGCAATAAGGAAGTGATGGAAATCCTCCCAATGGGATACAGATGACAAGGAAGAAACTCTTGGCCGTTTTTCACCCGTTCCCTACTCTATTCAACACTACAAGTTAAAAACTTTTTGACTTTTGATATACTTTAATTAAAATTTGCACTACAGATGAGGAAAATAAGAAAGCACTATGTAACTGATTCTAGCACAGAGAAACATTTTGCTTCCCAAGGTGTGTGGCAAGAACAGAGACATTAGTAAAGCCTATTGTGACCAAGAGCAAGCTTGTGTGACTGGTACCATCACCCTGTGCTATAAAAACAAAATGTAAGTTGCTTTTATGGTAGCTATGTAATTTGCCATCGATTGTAGGCATGACTATGAGAAATGTACCGTTTAGTTGTGCATTGATCATATGGTTTCCATCTCTTCTGTATAAAGCCTATAATGACAATGTCCACATGTGAAGACAATCAGAGAACAAAAATGTTTGAATAAAAAAACAAAAAACCTTTTGTCTGCATATTTTGTTCTTCAAAAATTCTGCAAATCTACTTTTGTAAGCCAGTGTTGTATAGAACTTAAGAGTACTATGGGGGTAAGTGTTTTTCCCCCATAGTTCTCTTAAGGGTCACCGGAGGACATATACTATCGTCCACCCGTGACCCAAAGCTCAGTATATAGCGAGCTACAGCTCGCGGTATACTGAGACCGCCGCAGCCGGGACGGATCCCGACAATGCTGTCGATCCACCCAGCTGCGTGATTGACAGCGGGCTCTGCATATCTAGAGGCAGAGACAGCTGTACCCGTCCCCTCCCATTCCTTCACTCAGCGCTGGACGATCGGAGCGGGAAATCCCTGCAGGGAGCCGTGATGGACGGTCACCGCTCTCTGCAGGGAGATGATCGAGAAATGAGCGAGTGACGGTGATGTGTTTGCTCACTTCCCGATCTATTGAGCCGACGTGATAGTTTCATTGTCACACGTCGGCTCGAACTATGAGGTTGATTGATTTTCACTCGCCTCATAGTTCTCCTTTAACCCTTTTGCTGCCAACGCCTTTTTTGCACACGTTATAATCCACATTTGAACCCTGGGAATTACTTAAAACCCCCCAAACATTACACATTTTCTGAAAGCAAAGACCCAGAATGAAATGGTGGCAGTTGCAAATTTTTATGTGTCTCAATATTAGCGCAACTCTTTATATAAAACCCCAACTTTCAGTAAAAATTACAATTTAAGTTTATTATGTGAAATACCCAATATACCGTTCATCAGCAAAGAGATGACCATAAATATTAGCCCTAGAATTATTGCTCTCATTCTGGCACACACGGCCAAACCTAATGTGTTGCAAAATCTTCATCTTCTTTCATAGGTAGGTGCACCCAGCACATGTTAGTATGCGAGTGTTTGTGGGGGCGGGGAACTTTTTTGGGGGTATTTTTAAATTCATTTGATTTAACTTTTTTTTTTAACTTCATTGCTATTGCATAGAGGGGATCACAAGCCCCCTATGTGATAGCATATTAGTAGTGACAGGTTCTCTTTAAAGGAGAACTATGGGGTGAGTAAATTACACTCATCCTCATAGTTAGAGCCGACGTCTGACAATGAAACTGTTACAGGTTGGCAGGAAGTGAGACAAAACATACCCGCTATATACTGAGCTTTGGGTCACGGGAGGACATTAGAATATGTCCTCCTGTGACCCAAAAGAGAACTTTGGGATAAAAAGGTTCCCACATAGTTCTCTTTTAACTCTATTTGCAGATTGTGCTTGAATAGCTTCTTCCCTGGTTTATTTAGCTGGGGAATGACAGCTGAGGAGCTAGAAGTGATTCAATCCATGTCGCTTTCAGCTCCATTTAGCAGATTGATGAACGGATGTTTGGTGCTCTCTCGCCTCGCTTCCCACCACCACCCATGATGCTGCTCCCTGGCCTGTAGGAGCCAAGTAGGTAAGGCGGGCCTGTCAGGGGAGCACTGTTTTGTTTATGGGCCGTGGAAGCAATTTGGTGGCAGTTAAGTCACCGGAATTGCTTCCAGTATAAAGCTAATCAGTTTGTTCACTAGGGGTTCTTTGTAAGCCAGTGC